TGCACGAACAATTCTTACCATCTAAAAAGAAGAAAATTTTTCTCGTGTACACTTCGTCAAATTCAGAATTTTTTTCTGTATCGGTGTAACAAAATTCTTTTTGTGATTTTAACATTGATTTTTGAGTTTGTTATTTTAGTTTGGTTTTTGCATTGTTTTTTAAAATGTTCCTTTTATGTTTTTCATTGTTGTAATGATTTTATTGACTATTTTATGTTTTTATTGACAAAATACAGTCGACTTTACCAATAATTAAATTTATGGTTAAATGAACTAATGATTTATTTTTATGCAATAATGAATTTTTTTAAAAATTATTTACAAAACCACACAAAACTATTCTTCAAAAAACTCAACTTTATTTACTTTTAAACATTTACCATTATTTTAGATTGGTAAATAGTTTCAAGTATATGCAACGTGTCAAGAAAGCGTCTCTTTGAGCGTCGATGTAACTATAATTATAACAAAAAAATTATAAATTAATATTAAATATTAATTCCTCATGCGCGGAAAATACTTGGTTTTTCCATATTGAACGCGCTGATAGAATCCCGTTTGCCACCCTGGTTTCAATGTTGTTTGTTAAAATTAAGTTAAAATAGTTTATTTTATTATGTTGTTATAATAAAAAAATCAAATTAAATAAACCATTTTTATATTATAACGATTTACTATATATTTATAGTTGTTTAATTATTTGTTTTAATTAATGTTCTGGAAAGGGAGTTTATAACACTTTTTGTCAAAAAAGTAATTTTTGTTTAATTTTGATGAACATACCTTTTTTAAAAAAAATTTAGTTTGATAATTGTTTAATTAAGTAGTTATAAAAAATAAAGCCTGCTTACAACAACATAATAATAAGTCAAAGTAACAAAACAAATCTTAATACTTCCATGCAATTGATTATCTCAAAAAACGGATTATAAATAAAATAAACAATCCAATCCTCATTTATAAATTAGCACTTTGTGTAAAAAGGAAGACAATCAATTTTACTCATTGCATTTCTAACCCACCCACTATGTGTCTTTTGTTCGTATTTGAATTTTACAAGCACAGTATTTCGATCAATTTTTGTATTTCGCATATCTCTTGCAATCAATTCCATATTTGCACCATACTTCCTCAAGGCCAAATAGAACAACCCAGTCTCTTGCCTTGACCAATGATACACACTTTTACGTGGCTTCAAGTCTTCCTTTCTTCTTTGTTGCACCTTCGGCTTCTTGTTAATTGTCTCAATCTCATACGATTCGCTCACAGACCCAACACACACTTCTTCTTCCTCGTTTCTGTCAAAGTTTCGTGTGTGGTGTGACATCCTTCCCGTTGCAAAGATTTGTAAATTTAGTACTCAAATGCTCCACTCATTTTTTTAGTTTCTTTTAAGTTTTCAATACATCATTTTTTAAACCTAATTCAATGATGTTTACCTTTTTTTTAAGTTTTTTTTCAAACTATTTAATTCAAAAAAATAATAATGTTATAGTTAATGATAATTACTCTCAGTAATAAAACTAATATAAACTAAATAAAAAAATAATTTAAATTTAATATATTATTATTATAATTATAATACTTAAAAAGGAATTTATTTAAAAAAATATGTTATCAATAAAATAATTATAAAAATTGTTAAAAAAAACAGTTAAATCGTGAATTAAATTCCACACACACCAATTTTCTTGCAAGCAGTTGAAACCTTGAACTTGACTGGGTCGAAAACTTTGACAGCATACTCGGATAGTCTCATAGCAACGTCGAGGCAATTTGTTTGCTTCTCAGGTACCTCCTTGTTGCAT